TGGCTGGTGCTTTGGCGGAGTTTATGTTTAGAGATGTGGTGAATTCAATGGGAGATCCTAAATGGATGTTTTCTTTTGCTCCATCAGTGGTAGTTGCAAGAGGGCCATAAGAGGGTGAATGAGTGACTTTCGCACAATTGTGGTGTAGCAAAAGAGGCTAAAGGCCAGATATGAGACTTCATAGAGGCATGAAGATGGTTCGGTGGCTGATAGTGGAAAGAGTTTTCAAGAATGGTCGTGGCTGTGGTGCAGCTTGGTTGATGAGAAGCCTAGGCGGGAGCGTGGTCCAAACATACTGTGAATCTTCAGATAAGAAAAGAGCGAGATTTATGTATTGATCCCTAGTTTTCCAAAAGTTGCTTTGATTTTGGGTGGGATTGTACGAAGGGTAATGATAGAGACTTAGAGAGGACAAAAACTTTGGGATGAAAATTTGAGATCAATAACTGGTGTATGTCAGGTTATTAAATTAGTTGATACACATAATATTATAGGTTATAAAAAAAATTAATCATTAAATTAATAATATAGAGTTCACCTTTTAATATTTTAAATGATATGACTTATATCACGTTATTAATCTTAGATTTTGATTTAAAATTTGTCTCATTTATCATTATTCTTGTATGAAATTCAATATTCTATTATAGTTAACAAAGTTGAATTTGTTTCCAATTCTATTTTGGGAAAAAGTTATGGTGGGTTTGTTAGCTCACCCATACATATCATTTAGGTTTAGCTTAATTAGATGTTGTATGGTGATGCAAGGTCTTTAGCGCTGATACGAATTGCTTTTTTTTTTTTGAACAAGTTGTCAAGGGACGGACTCAAAACCTGCCCATGGGGGAGGGGGAATGCATTTCAAGTTAGCAGGGTGCCAGTTGGATTGAAGGATCAAGTGCGATTGAATTACTTATTAGTTTAACTATAGAAGAATATAATAACAGTCCTTTATGGTGTCTGTAGGGATTTGGAGGTAGTTATTTCAGCTCTGCATGTTCCTTGCAACACCTTATTTTGGTTTTGGAAAAAAGGAAGATTTGGCGGGGTTATTCCTATTTAAAAGGTTTATGTGGGTCTCACAAAATTATAGTTAGAATTTTTATTAGGGACTTAAACAAGAATGAATAATGATATGATTAAATTTAGTGATTTTGATAAAGAGTAGAGATTATTTTTGGTTCAAATGAGAGTTTAGAACAATATTTGACATTTATGATAAAAATGGTACTAAATTAGGTATTGACAGTGCTATACTTATAATGTTTAGGTGATATTAAACGCATATGATATGATATGATATTAAATAAATGAATATATATAATATCATAATGAATTTTGAATAAAAAAATTAATTATATAATGATATATTATATGATAAACTTATATTTTTATATAGTATGTAATTATATTATTTTCAATTAGATATTTACCATAACTTTTAACAGAAATTAGGAAGGATTTTTAGATTCATGATGTTTAAAATTAAAAAGTAAATACCGTTATATTTGCACTTTTTACTTGAAGGTTAAATATAAATTTTAGTCCCTTAACTTTAGGGTCTTGTGCAATATTTGTCTCTTAATTTTTATTTTTTATGTATTTTTTTATTCCTTCAACTATAAATGATATAATTTTTAATCTTTTCATTAGTTAATTTGTTATATATATACATTTTTAATTCAGGAACATTTAAGTTGCTAGATGAAAAATATACTTAATTATAAGTTAAGGAACTAAAAATATATATAAACAAATTTAATAGATTAATTGATAAAAAAATTAAAAAATATATATATTTTTTATAATTAAAGAATTAAAAAAAGTATATAAAAAATTAATGGATAAAAGTGATACAAACCTCAAAATCGAGGGAACAAAATTAGGCACTTAACTTTTGAGAAATCTAAAGAATGCCCTTACCCTTATCCCCTACATGAATTTTATTAGTTAAAATGCCCCTTCCCTTCCCAGCTCGCATCAGTCCAAGAAGGGTGAAATTTCATAAGTTTGCGGAAAAAATTTGGGTGAATCTGAAGTTAAACTAGCTTCATAAAACATAACTATAATTAAGTATTTTTCATGAAAGACAACGAAACTGGGGCTCTTCTGCAAAACATTCTCCAAAAATGGCGACAATTCTGCAACCTCCGAGCTTCAACTCTGTTTCAGTGACCCTCCGCTGTTCTTCCCGCGAAAGGAAGAACAAGAAACAGAAACAACTGCTGCAAAAGCAGTTTCACTGGCAGAAAAGCAGCAGCTCCCGTTTCCCAAAACCATCCCCAACTCCACTCTTAATCAACCGCAGACCCTTTACCCAAACCAAGATCCAAGCACTTGAAGCTGTAGTGAAAGACCTCGAAACCTCTGTCGAAAATGGCATAAATGTCGATGCTGAACTGTTCTCTTCCCTTTTGGAGACATGTTTCCACTTAAAAGCTATTGATCACGGAATTCGAATCCATAGACTAATACCCAGAAACGTATTACTTAAAAACACTGGGGTTTCCTCAAAACTGGTTAGATTATATGCGTTGTATGGGGATATTGATACTGCCCACCAACTGTTTGATCAGATGTCTAAGAGGGAGGAATCGACTTTTGCATGGAATTCTCTTATCTCAGGGTATGTGGAACTGGGTCAATATGAAGATGCCTTGGCGCTTTATTTTCAAATGGAGGAAGAGGGTGTTGAACCTGATCGATTCACGTTCCCTCGAGTATTGAAAGCTTCTGCGGGAATGGGGTTGATTCAAATAGGGGAGGCGGTGCACCGGATTGTGGTGCGGATGGGTTTTGGAAATGACGCGTTTGTGCTCAATGCACTTGTTGATATGTATGCAAAATGTGGTGATATTGTCAAGGCTAGAAGGGTTTTTGATCATATTGCTTGTAGGGACTCTGTTTCGTGGAATTCTATGTTGACTGCTTATATTCGGCATGGGCTATTGGTTGAGGCAGTGGAGATGTTCTGTAGGATGCTTGATGATGGATTTCTTCCTGATGCAGTGGCTGTATCAACAATCCTTGCTGGTTGTTCATCCTTGAACATTGGAGTTCAAATCCATGGATGGGTTATTAGGCAAGGAATTGAGTGGAATTTGTCCATTGCTAATGCTTTAATTATTGTCTACTCTAATAATGGGAAGTTAGATCAAGCTTGTTGGTTATTTGAAAAGATGCCTGAGAGGGATGTAGTGTCATGGAATTCTATAATTTCCTGTCACTGTAAATACCCAGAAGCTCTAGCATATTTTGAGCAAATGGAGAGCAGTAGAATTTTGCCAGATAATATAACATTTGTGTCAGTATTGTCAGCTTGTGCCCATGTGGGATTGGTTGAAGACGGGAAGAGATTATTTTCTCTGATGAGAGAGAAGTACAAGATCAGACCAATAATGGAACATTATGCGTGTATGGTAAATCTTTATGGAAGATCAGGCTTTGTTGATGAGGCTTATAATTTCATAGTGGAGAGAATGGAGTTTGAGGCTGGTCCAACTGTGTGGGGAGCATTATTGTATGCATGTTGCCTTCATGGAAATATAGAGATAGGGGAGATTGCTGCGCAGAAGCTTTTTGAGCTGGAGCCAGACAATGAACATAATTTTCAGCTCTTAATTAAGATTTATAGCAAGGCAGGTAGGTTAGAGGATGTTATGCGAGTGCAAAAAATGATGTTGGACAGAGGATTATGAGGGCAAGACTGGGACATCAAGCATGGCTTATACCTGAAGGAAAGGGTGGTAAAGCTGCCATAAGATGGCACAACTCACTTCTCTGTGGTTATCATCTCTGTTCCTTGATTTAGCGTTTTGGGGAATATGAATCCTAATTTATTCCTGAATCAAAAATGTGGGGTTCAGGTTAAACTGCAAAGACCTTGCCATCTTGTCTACAATGAGGGGTACAGTAGACGGAGGTCATGGTCTTACAAAGATGAAAGACCTCTCTTTTTTACCTAGAGCTGAATTGCAGATACAAAATGTGAGAGGAAAAACCTTTTGCCTCGGAAAATAACACACTTTTTCTTTTTAAGTCCTCTCTCTTTCTCTCTTATGCAATTATTAAAAACCATAGGTTCCCATACACTTTGTGGTAAACTTAAACTGACACGGTCACTCAGGATTTTTTTATTGAAACATTATTAATGAACTTAGCCATGTTGCATGACTAATCTTCAATTATTCATTTGTTGTCTTAGTTGAACCTTGGAACAACTGCAAGTAACTCGATATCAAATGCTTATCATTACTTCTCTAATTTATTAAAGTATTTACGTTTTTTTCTTTTGGCCAAAAGCTATATTACTTTGTTTGCACTGGGTACTTGGATCTATAATCTGTTCATGCATATACACATACATCATACATGGCAGTCGTGCTGAAAATTATGCGCCTAGAAATGTTTGAATTTGCTATGATTCTCAATATGAAAATCTCCTCTTCCAAAAAAATTCTTGTGGAGATTAAATTAGCAATCAACATGTTTGCTGGCCAAACTTTTTATCAATCTTCATCATAGACAGAGATGATGCCAATCCTCTCTGTCGTTTAGAAATAAATCTCCCACTCTCTCTGTCCTTGAATGTTGGATGACAGCAACCCAAGTGGATTCTGTATAGGACCCTAATATTGAGGCAGTAAGGGACAGCTGTAGCAATTCTTTTGGGCTAATGAGAATCAGTCAGAGTCTTATTTGAGTGATTGTTCAACATCAAGATTTTTTTTTTTTTTTTTTTTTTTTTTTTTTGGGTACATTAGATGATTTTACATTAGGGGACAGCCCTTCTCTTCCTAAACCATCCCCACTCATTCCAAAATTTGAACTTGAGACCCCTCAAATGAAGGCTTAAGTTCTTAAGCACTGGGATCTCCCCTAGTGGACACACCCATTACTTATATAACAAAGGGTTGAAAGTAGTTTAGAGAAAAAAGTGTGGTTTGAAGTGGAGTGTTTAAATTAAATACTTGCAATAATCCATGAATAATCTTTTTTAGACTTCGTACCCAATATGTGTCACATGTCTGGAACCATACCCATGAGTTCCATTAATTCCCGCACAGTTGGGCTCCACAAATAACAATGCACTATTTCATTTTTCTCCACTGCCAAAAAGCTAAGTTGTTGATAAAGAAAAACTCAAAAAAGTATCAATCTTATGTAGATGCGGGTAGCAATATGGAGAGGGCACTTACTCTTATTTTATGTGAAGTGTCTAGTTTTCATTCAGAACACCACCATTCATTGTCCATTTTTCTGCACTTACCTAATTTACATTGCAGGAATGGACTGTAAGCAGAGAGCATCATCCTTTCTTCTAATTCATAAATAGTAAGAGCACAAAACTTTCATTCTCAGATCTCAGCTGGAGAATCCAAGTTAGTTATCTTGAACCATGGCAAGAGCTACTTCTAGTCTTCTCCTGTTGCTCTCTGTCATGTACCTTGCTGTCAAGTCCAAATCTGCAACAAACTTCATTGAGGACTCATGCAGTGTTACCCCATATCCAGCACTGTGTGTCCTGACTCTCTCATTTTATGCTGCTATGATTCAGCAGAGCCCATTCATACTAGCTGAAACAGCTTTATCAGTGGGGCTAGTCGAGTCTCAATCCACCAAGGCATTCATGTCTGAGGTGACAAAGTTCAGGGGACTCAAGCCTAGAGAATTTGATGCCATCGAGAATTGCATTGATGATTTGGGTGACAGTATTGACAGTTTGAGCAAGTCAGTTCAAGAGATGAAACAGATGGGTGATGCCATTGCCAAGGAGCAGGAGTTTCAGTCACACACATCAGCAACTTCTTGACTTGGATCAGTGTGGTCCTTATTGATGTGAACACTTGCCTTAACAGTTTCTCCAGCGGAGCCCTGGAAGGTCTTATCAAATCCTTGGGTAAAACTCAAGCTATTAACAGTGCACAGGTCATAAGTAA